TCCCGAGTCTGCTCGAGGACTTGCGCTGCCCTTCAGCCCCACAGTGCTATAGTCCGACCGCTGCTGCCGCTCCTTTGCCCTTCCGCTGCAGTGCGTAGAGGGGTTTTGTTTCATCAGAGTGCCTGCCCAGGCTTAGCCGGGATGGTTTGTCTGGAGGACGTGGGCATAAGGACGTTTGGCTGTCGCCGAGGGTCCGGGGAGCTCTGTGCAACCCGGTTCGTCTTTAAAGGGTCCCCCTGATGCGCATGCGTTGTTGATGTGGAAAGGAGATGCGAATCAATGTGTTTTCGTGGCAGGTGGTGGATTGCAAGGCCACGTGCACACAGTCAGTCCCTCATCACCTTCGTCCCTCTCCTCTCCCCATCGACTATCTGCCCTGGGACCTCTCCAGGGGTGCGTTCTGAAAATCGTTGAAACGATCCGTCCCCAAACTTCGAACCTTCATCCCTCCCCTCCCTCCACCCCCACCCCCTCTCTCGCCCACTGCATTTTTCCCAACCATCCTGTGGTGTTGGGTCTTCGTTTTGAGCAGATAGCGCCCCGCGTTCCCACTCCTCCTCCCCATCCTCCCCCCATCCCTCTTTCCATCCGCCTCGTCATCGTCATCGTCAGCGTCATCACCATCGTCATGATCCACATCATCATGAGCATCGCCATAGCCATCGTCAGCGCCGCGCCCCTCACACGGTTCGTGGCCCCACAGGGAGGTCCACCGAAGGTCCCAGTGGCACGGTCTGCATGCGGGGACCGCCACCCGTTTTGGCGAACCTTTCACACGGTTCGTGCCCTCATAGGGAGCTCCACCGAAGGCCCCAGTGACAGGGTCCACATTGCGGCGCCGCCCCATTGGCGCACCACTCACTCGGTTCGTGGCCCCATATGGAGTTCCACCGAAGGCGCCAGTGGCAGGGTCCACCTGGCGGCGCAGCCCTATTTTGGCGCACTCTTCAGACGATCCGTGGCCCAATAAGGAGCTCCACCGAAGGCCCCAGTGGCAGGGTCCACATGGCGTCGCCGCCCAATCTTGGCGCACGTTTCACAAGGTTCGTAGTCGCATAGAGAGCTCCGCCGAAGGCCTCCGTGGCAGGGTCCGCATGGCGGCGCCGCCACATTTCGGCACACCCCTCACACGGTTCGAGACCCCATAGGGAGCTCCACCGAAGGCCCCAGTGGCAAGGTCCACCTGGCGGCGCAGCCCCATTTTGGCGCACCCCTCACGCAGTTCGCGGCCCCATAGGGAGCTCCACCGAAGGCCCCAGTGGCAGGGTCCACATGGCGGCGCAGCCCCATTTTGGCGCACCCTTCACACGGTTCGAGACCCCATAGGGAGCTCCACCTAAGGCCCCAGTGACAGGGTCCGCATGGTTGTGCCGCCCAATTTTGGGGCACCATTCGCACGGTTCGAGGCCCCATAGGGAGCTCCACCGAAGGCCCCAGTGACAGGGTCCGCATGGCTGTGCCGCCCAATTTGGGGGCACCATTCGCACGGTTCGAGGCCCCATAGGGAGCTCCACCGAAGGCCCCAGTGGCAGGGTCCGCATGGCGGAGCCGCCCCATTTTGGCGCACCCCTCACGCAGTTCGTGGCCCCATAGGGAGCTCCACCGAAGGCCCCAGTGGCAGGGTCCGAAGCTCCGAGACCTCCCCCGACGATCGGGCCTCGAGGCTGGAGACTGAGATGGAAAGAGAATGGAGACAAAACCGGCGCGCACGGGGGTTGGGCCACCGCGGGCTAGGTGGTTAGGACGGCGGCACGCTTCGGAAACAGGGAGAGAGAATATTGAGACGAGAAGAACATGGAGACAAACGGCCGCGCACAGGGCTCAGGCCATAGCAAGAAACCAAGAATGCCACGCGCAACGGAAACAGGGAGAAAGGAGGACACGGCCGCGCACGGGGCTCAGGCCAAAGCAGGAAACCAAGAATGCCACGTACAACGTCAACAGAGAGAGAGAGAGGATAATATGCGGGGAAGAATATTAGGAAACAAAACGGCCGCGCAAGGGCAAGTGGCTCAGGCCGAATCAAGAAAACAAACGTGCAACACGCAACGGAGACACAGAGAGAGGATAATACGTTGGGAAGAAACTTAAGACAAAACGGCTGGGCACAGGGCTTGGGCCACCGTGGGCCCCCCTCCTCCGTCTCATATCCTTCGCGATACTCGCGGCTGCATACTGTTGGGTCCTTCGTCAGGCTAATTTCTCCCCTCCTTATCCCCCCTCTCTTCATTCCTCAATCTTCCTGTACTCGTAGCGTGCCTCTCGAACAGCCCGCGTCATACTGGTACAAATACCCCCTCCTGTCCCCGCATCCCTCCCCCTTCCTTGCCCCCCGTCATGAGGTACAGCGGCCCGTTCGTGCAGGAGATACGGCAGCGGCTGGACGCCTATTGGCTGCCTTTGCAGCGTGGTGCCGCCGGACATCCCGCTCTTCCTCCCTCCTCCTCCTCCTCCTCCTCCTCCTATTCCTCCTCCTCCTCCTCTTCATCCCTTCATTCTACCTTTCCTCTTTCCTTCTTCATTCTCTATCTCCTTCTCCGCCCCTTCCCTCCTCCTCGTCCTCCTCCTCCTCGTCCTGCGCACAAAGTAGCGGACGATGAGTTCGCGCGCCGACCGCCGCCGCGGGGAGGGGCGGAGCCAAACGCCCAGCCCCCCGACCCCGACACCTTGTGACCCCCTAGAGCTAGGGGCCGCACACTCCTGGCGAGGCGCGAGAGGGGGAGGAAGAGGACGAAGATAAAAAGAAAGAGAAGAGGCCCCAGGCTCACCACGCAGACCGTGGTGAGCACCACCAGCCCGGGAAGGCAGGCGGCCCCCATGCCTCCCTGGCTCTACAAGCGCCAGGGGACACAGGTTCCCCCCGTGCGGAGCACACGGCGAGTATTTCCGCGCACGGGTAACCTGGTCCGCCCCCACAGGCCCCCTTGCCCAAGGGGGGCCAGGCGGTACACGTCTTGAGCCGTGCCCGCAGGCCGACCCCCCCAGCCACACCCTTGCCCCGCGACATCACGGGAGGGCCAATACAGTGGCTTGGGCCTGCCCCCACAAAGGCAGGTACCACGCAGGCCGACGCGATGGAAGCAAGCAGGTTGCTCCTTTGGCGGGGGCCGGCGGGTTTCGCTATCACTGTTCGGAACGTGCGCGACTCCGTCCCGAAGGCCGTGCGGGGGGCGGGGGTCCCGGTGGGGCTGGTTCCCTGCTCCTCCTGCGACGGACGTCGGGCAGGGCCACAGAGGGTCAGTAGCATAGGGGCCACCACGCCCTCCTGTCAATCGAGGGTCGAGGGGGAGGAAGGAGGATCGAGGACCGAGGAGGTTCAGGACGATGGATATGGTGTCTTGGGAGTCCTGGTGGCTCTGGGGAGGACACTGGGTTTCGTTTCCGCGAGGAAGTGGTGACCCCCTCAGTGGTGACGTCACGCTGGCGCGCGCGGCTCCCATTTGTTGCATTTGTCTTATATCCTTGCGCCAGGTCCACAGAGTCTGCGTCGTATTGCTTTTGCTGTAATGTGCAGGAGCCGGTCACGGCCCCTGATCGGATGGTGTATAGGGTGTACATAGCACTTGCCCGTCCACCCAGCACATCTCCGGCCTCTCGCACTCCAGCGTTGTCTATTCACTGCTTCGCTGCTCGGCGCGGGCCCTCGACCCTTCTCATGCCCCTTCCCTAGACCAGTTTTTGAATACTTTGGGCGACTGCTTCAATCAGGTGGAGCAAACACCCAGGCCCCCCCCCCCCCTCATCTGGACACGCGAGTCGCTGATTTGCAGGACAGGTTTCGTTTTGGGGCGCTACTTCTTGTGGCATCCATCTGAAACTAAGAAAGCTTCCAGGCCGCCGTATGCGTTCAGACAAGAAAACACATCATCCTGCACAGCGCTCGCGCAACCACACGTAGCCATTGCACAGCCCCCGCGCGCAGCACCAGCGAAGCACTGGCCAAGAGCGTAACCCCCCCCAAACCAGACCCCCCCAGAATACCCGTCAATCAGATGGACGAAGCACCAGCTCAGCGAGCCAGACCCCCCTCCCGTCTTTCATAGATGGGGTCCAGGTAGATGCAGTCGGAGGAGGACACCGTATCGTCGATGCGTCGGCGTCGCACCAAGCGCATCGAGGCGTGCGGGGCGTATGGGAGACGCATCAACAATGCATCACCGATGCATGGTCAATGCGCCATACGCATGCCGTCTCTGGGCGAAAGACGCTCAGATATTCCCTTTCCCGTGGGGGAAGGGGACATCCGAGCGGATCCAAGGATCCCGTTGCCGATCCGAGGACAGCGGTTTCGATCTGCGGATTCCTTTCCAATCAAACCCAGGCATGTTTTCAATACGCTGGCTCATTTTTTGATCCGCGGATTCATGTTCGATCCGCGGATTCATGTTTGGGTCCGCGAGTTCATCTTTTGATCCGCGGATTAAATTTTCAATCCATGGATCAATTTTTCGATCCGCGGGTTCATGATGCCTCGCTGAATCATTTCCCGATTTGGAGATCATTGTTTCGATGCACAGATCGACGTGCATCCGCGACGCATCGAGGATTCATCGCGGATGCGTCGTGGACGAGGCTCGGCGCGGTTCGAGCGTCGCCCGTGCATCATCGATGCATCAGCGATGCGGCGATTTCCTCTGACACCATCTACTCCGACCCCATCTGGGAGGCCTCTCCTCCCCTCAGGCCGCATGCCAATTCCAGGAATAGAAACACGCTTATCGCTCGTTCCATACAACTTGTCCTCCATGCCAGAAGCCGGTGCTGAAGTGAGCGATGGGGACTGGTGGTAAATTCTTGACGCTTCCGTAGCCTTGGCTCAAGGGGCCCGCGGGGTGGCGTGTCGCCGCGCCGCGGCCCAGCCTCGGGGCGGCGCGGCAGCCTGGCTTGCGCCCCGGTGGCCGAACTCCTGATCCCCGTCCGTGTCGAGCCACTCTTTCTCTATTCTCGTGCTTCGAGGGTCGAGCGCAACCTCGTGAAGCCTAGCCTCGCCTTCCGGCCTCATGGTGCTGCTCGCAAACCTGGGCTCGGAACAGCTCGTGGCCGCCGCGTCCGGCGCGCTGCAGTCGCAGAGCGCGTTCGCGTCCGCGGTGGCGGCCGCCGAGATCGCCGCGATCGGCGTGAACAACTGGGGCGCCAGTCTCGGCCTGGCGGCGTGCGCCGCCGGAGTCGGCGCGGCTGCAGTGGCCGCCGCCGCGGGGAAGTTGCGGTGCGGCGCCGACGTTCAGGCGGACGAGTGCCTGGGCGGCAATTGACGCCCACCGAAAGAGCAGACTGTCCAGGCGGTTCCTCAAGGCACGTCGTGGGGTATGTTGGCGACGCCCGTGCCGATGTCCCTGATGTCAATCCCGGCGTTGCTGGGTAGCTGATGTTGGCCTTTGCTGATCGCCGTCTCTTTCGGGGCGTCAGGAGTGTCGACGGCGAAGACTCGAGCGGTGTCGCACTCGCTGTCCGGGGGGTTGCACATCGGGGCGCTGGGAGCCCTGGCGGTGTACGTGTTCGCGCGCACCCCTGGCGACCGCGCGTCGTCGCACCCGTTGATCCGCTGGGCTCCGTTCGTGGTCGTCGTGCTGGGGTCTCTCATGGTGCTGCTGGACCTGACGCGCCACGTGCTCCTGGACCAAAACATCGCGCCAATCCACCTCCATATGTACAACAAGGACGGCTCTCTCACCACTGTGGGTGAGATGGGTATGCATATATATATATATATATATGTTATTGAACGGTTTGAGCTTGGGTTTTTGGAATTCTGTGATGTATAGCCACAATCAGACCTGCTAAACGATCCAGGAGTTTAAACATCGGAACCCCGCTCTCGCCTTTGTCTGCCCCCTCTCCCCCTCTCTCCATAGCCTGTCTTCGGCTCAGAACGGGCGGAGCACCGCATGCTCTCCCCAGGTTCCGCTGCGGTGCTTCCGGCCTTGAGCTTGGCGCTGTTCGCGGGGTCTGGGTGGCGGCTGGCTCCTCCGCCCTTGGTGCTGGAGCCCCTGCCCGTGTCCCCGGCGTGGCTCGAGGAGGTCGCGGAGGCCTGCGAGGCGGCCTCCTCCGCGGCCCTGTACGCCGAGTCGGCGGCTCGGGCGGCCCTCGACGTGGCGGCCTCTCCGCCGCCCCCGCCGCCGCCACCGGCGGACTGCGAGCCCTGCGTCTGCCCGGAGCAGTCGGGTGACGAGGAAGTGGCTCTGGCGGTGCACGTGATCGTGGGGCTGCTCACGCCGGCGTGGCTCTGGCTGACAGACCGGCGCTGCGGCAGCCCGAGTCCCCGCTCGGGCCTTCGACGGCATGCTGGGCCGACGCGGGCGCCGGGCACCCCTGCCCCCGTTGCCCGCAGGGGAGGAGTGGTGCGCTGATCTGCCCTGCGGGGCGCGCGCCCGGGTGAGCTACCTCGGCGACCTCGTGGATCACGAGCGGGTCGTCGTGTCGCCGTCGAGGCGCGAGAAGGAAGGCGAGATGGTCGACTCGCACATGTACTGGGTGCTCTCGCCGGACCTGTGGGAGGAGCTTCTGTCGGGGGCCTCCCCGGCCGACGGGCCCTCCGGCGGCGAGCGCATGGCAGCCAACGCCGCCCCGCCCGCGGGGGGCCGCAAGTTCTGCGGCTTCAGGGAGAGGCTCACGCTGGGCCGGCTGGTGGAGCTGGCCGAGGAGTGCAGGTCAGCGATGCATCAGGCCCGCGGGCAGACGCCCGCGGAGGGACCGGCCAAGGTCGAGCTCCCATCGGGCGCCTTGCTGGACAGCGGCGAGGTGTTCCCGTGGGCCCCCCCGCCGCGCGCGCCCGCCCTGCCGGCGCGGCCCTTCGCGGGCGGCGACGCGGCCGACGCCCTGGCCGCGGCCCCAGCGGGCGCGCCCACGCCGCCTCCGGAGGGCCACGCGTGGGGCTTGGCGGAGCCCGCTCCGGGGCTTCCGATCGGCACGATCGTGGGCGCCTCGACGGAGACCCTGATCGGAGTGGGTATCGACGCCCTCTGGCACCGGCGTGGCCGGGCGTGGCGAGTGCAGCAGATGCCGGAGGTCGAGGTGGCCGACTGGTCGTCTCGGCGCGCGGACGAGGAGCTGCGCCGCCTCTTGGAGATGGCGCCGCCGGCCGCTTCCCCTGGGGATGGGCCCCTGGCCCTCGGCGCCGGGCCTGCCCCAGGCGAGGGGGCGCCGCCGCCGGGGCCGGGCGACCGCGACGCGGGGGCCGACGCCGGCGACGACGGCCCGAGGTCGGAGGAGCGAGGCGGCGACGACGTCCGCACCCTCTGGGTCGAGCGGGGCGACCAGGGCGAGCGGTTAATTCAAGGAGTTCAGGAGGGCGATCAACGAGTCGGCGAGCCACGACTGGGGGACTGGGGGCACCAGCGGCTCGAGGGAGGCTCGACGTGCCTCCGCACGTGCAAGACGATGTACCGCGCGTCGGGCACCCCACGGGCGTGGCTTGAGAAGTTCTTGCGGGAGAAGAACATCGCGCCCACCGACCGGGTGGCCCAAGAGCTGCGGCCTCGGGCGGAGGCGCTCGAGGAGGCCGGCTGCTTCGACCAGCTGAACCTGGGCGGCCTCGCCTGCCTCGAGGTCGTCGCTCGCCGGCTCAACGCCATCGTGGGCGCCCGTAAGCGCGGCGGGGCCCCGTCCTTCGCCAACGCCATGCACTTGGCGCCGCTGGGCGAGGCGGACGAGCTGCCGGCGCTGGCCCTGAGGCAGCGCGTCTCCCGCCGCGCCAAGGAGGACTGGGAGGCGGAGCAGTCCATGAAGAAAGCGGAGGCCGTCGACTCTCGCGTCGCGTCGAGCGCGGCGGCTATAGGGAGACCACCAGCAGCGGCGGCGCCGCGGGGGCCTGCGGAGGGGGTGCCAAGGGGCGGGGCCGTGGCCGCGGCCGCGGACGCACGCCAGGGCCCCCCCCGCCGGCCCAATCATGACCGAGACGGGTCAGCCGGGGGATTGGGCCCCCCCCGGCTGGGAGCATGACCAGGCCCGCGCCTCTCCGTTGCCGCCGTCCGATTTTGAGAGAGACCTGTTCCCGGTCCCGTTGGTGAAGGAGCCGGGCGTTCTGGCCCGCGGGCGCAGGTCTCAGCGTAGGGCCCATGTGCGGCTACGCGAGGTGGACTTGGTGAATCGCGCCTTGACCAGCTTGAATTGGATGGCCGGTTTCAAGGGCGCATCGTCGTCACCGCAGCCGGGCGCCTTGACCCTGGCCAGGCGCGCAGCCTTCCAGCAGTACTTGTGGCGCGAGGCTCATCGGCGCCGGGCCGCAGCCCCCCCGGCGCCGCCGAGGGCGGAGGCAGCCCTCTGGGAGCTGCTCCGGGGGCAGTCCGTGTACGAGACGGACGTCGCCCCGAGGAACCTCGTCTCCTACCAGCCCCGCAATGTCTCGCTGCCCGAGAGCGCGCTGGAGTGCCGCTTCCTCGAGGACATCGCGAGCCCAGATTGCCGTCTCTTTGAAGCGAATGAGGTTGGAGCCGGAGGCAGTTGACTTCGACAGCACGCCGTGTGTCTACATGGGCCCCGTGCTGGAGAGGAGTTCCAAATTCTACCGCGCGTTCGTGCGGGATCTCGCTAGACGTGGACTTCTTGCTTCGAGGCCCGCCGAGTCGGTGGGCATCTTCTTCGCGGCGAAGTCGGGCGGCGCTCTTCGGCTGATCATTGACACTAGGCGCAGCAACGGCCACTTCAGAGCGCCGGGATCCGTGCGACTTCTGAGCAGCGAGGGGTTCGGGCGCATCGAGGTAGAGCTGCCGCCCAGGATCCGCCCCTCCTCCGATGAGGGCCGCCGCTTGCTGGACCCACGAGGACCTCGGCCGGTGCATCTGCTTGCCGGCCGCCCCTTGGCACGCCCTCGGGGGGCTGCCGGTCGCTGGCCCGAGGCGAGGGCGGGGCCTGCGTTTACGTCGACAACTTGGGCGCCGTCAGCGGCGACGTCTCCCTCAGCGACAGGATGGTGTCCTAGTGGAGCGACTTGTTCGAGCCGGTCGGGTTGGCCCTCTACAAGTCGGAGTCCCACAGCGGCTGGGGGGGGTCCTCGGCGCGGAGATCGACGGGGGCCGCCTCCGGTCGACCGTGACTTTCGCCCGCTTCTGTAATGCAATGTAATGTCGGGGCCTTAATACAGGCAAGAAAAAGGAGAAAGAAGGACCGATGGGGCCTCCAGGGGCCTCCAGCGCCGCCCGAGACACGCCCTACCCAAGAGGGGCCACATAGGGCCCCCTCTCAACACGGGCCAGGGAAGGTGGACGCAAAGCCACTGGCTCTGGTCCCCAACCCGCCCAAGCCAATCATGCAAGCACTGCGAGAACAGAGGCTACACATGATCACTACCCAAGCTCGACTGCATTGCAAATACACAACGTGCGCTCTCAAATGTAGGAGGCATCACTCACTGAACAATCACGCACGATCCCAATCTCCATTCCAAGATGAGGCGACGAATGATCTCCCAACTCAGAAATCCTGGGGCTCCACCTCGATCGACTCCTCGAGGCTGGCCTCCCAGGATTCATCCCTGGCCTTCAGTCGGGCTTCCAGGGCAGCCCGCCAAGCCTCGTCGCTAGCGCCCTCATGCGGGCATGAAAGCCGAAGTCCTGCTCCGCTTCAGGGGAGCCGTCACCGAAGCCGTCGTCGCTGCCGTGCATTGCCGTGCTCCCGTGCTCCGCCTCCAGGGCCGAGTCGTACTCGCTGCCATCCGAGACGAATTCCTCCTCCTCGAGGTCCGCCTCAGCATTGCCCACGGAGCCTGCTAGCAAACCGCGGCCCCCCGTCACCAGACTCCTGGCGCCGCCTGCGTGTTCGCGCAGGCCCCCGCGCTCCGCCTCGCCCAGGGCCGAGCCGTACTTGCGCATGCACTCGGCCATGCCCTCCAGCTTGCGCCCTGAGCCTGCTGGTAGGTCGCTGCCGTCCGTCACCTGCCACGCGGTGCCGTCCGCGACCTCGACAGCCGGCGCGAAACCGAGGGCAGCGAGCAGAACGTCGACGCGGGCGGGCCCCAGCATGGCCCAGCAGCCCGGAGGCCGCCGCGGCCAGAAAGGGGCCGCCCCAGCCTGCATCTGCACTGCCCCGCGCTCAGGCCGGGGGGCCTCCGCGGAAGGCGTGCCGCAGGCGCGGCGACGCAGATCGCGACCTCGATCGCCTTGCCCTCCTGCGGCGCAGCCCGCCCGGGCCCGCCCAGCCGGGGCCCTCAGCGCGCAGCTGGCGCGTGCTGGCGCTCGCGACGCCCAGCCCTTCGGCGGCCGAATGAAGCGCGACGTCGCGCCGTAACTTGTCGCTCACCGTCGGCATGAACCCCTCCATCAGGGCAGCAAGGGCCGGAGCGACTGCGGCAAGCCGCCGGGCCACCGCCCCGTCGCCCAGGGCCCGACCGAGCGCGTCGAGCCGCGAGCGGCACTCGTCGATTTCCGCACTCAGGGCCTCTGCCTCCGCACGCGCCGCCTCCAGCCCGCGGTCGCATGCATCCTGCGGCCGCCGACGCGCAGCGGTCCGCTCGGCGCGCGAGAGCCGCTGCGCCGAAAACCAGGAACCGCCGCGCGGCGATCCCGCCCGCGCCATCAGTCTGGACGCCCGAAATGGGCACGGAAAGAATGGGTTCAATGCCCAACAATAGTTCCTGTTCATTTTGAACAGGACTCGCTGTCCACGCCGCCGCGGCCTGTGTCCATCCGAGACAGGAGGCCGCCGCCTGCCCAACAGCGGCCGCTGTTGGTTTGGGACAACATTTGTTGTTGGGCATTGTGCCCATTGTTTCCGCACCCATTTCGGGCGTCCAAAATCAGCTCGAGCCCGCCCGCGCGCGCCCGAGGCTGGCCTTGAGCCAAAATGGCTACGGATTCGCCAGCTTCTGGAAGCTGGAGCGAGGCTTGACGGGACTGTTGACTCGGGGCCGATGCAGCGGCCGAGCCCTTGAAAATTATCTCGGCGAAGGACCCAACCATATGCAGTTGTGAGTCTCGCAATTGTGAGTATCTTCTTCGGTGGCGCTCCCTATGGGGCCACGAACCGCATGAGGGGCGTGCCGAAATGTGGCGGGGTACACAACGCAAAGGAATACGATAGATCTGATTACGAAAGAAAGAACGCGGGTGAGTCAGAGCGCGAGGGGATCTGAGTATGAATGGGTCTGCGCGCGAATGAATATATTTGCATGAATGCGATCATGGAAACGCCTAGTGTAAGTGTATATGAATGTGAATGGTTCGAGCATGCCTGTCCGAACGCACGTGACACTGGGCGTGGCCGCCGCAGGCAGCTTCCGCGGGAACCCCGACGGCAGCGTCCGCACGTCGCGACGCCCATGTCGGCACGCCTCTTGCGAGGATCGCGCCCGCTTTCGGCTCTTCTTTTCCTTCCTCTTTGCCCGCTCAAGCCATTTTGGCTCAAGGCTCAAGCCATTTTGGCTCAAGGCTCAAGGACCTCAAGGACCTTAAGGCCTGAGGTGCGGCCGCGGGGGGGCGCGGGTGCCATTGCTGCCTTCGTCTTCGTCGAGGTCAGCGAGATTGGTTCAATTTGGGTTCAACCAGTGGGATTTATCAGTGGGATATCACTCTCATTGGTGGGATATCGACTCAATTTGGCGAATTCGCGAATTTATTGGGTTTTGTCAATTCGGCGTTTCATTTTCATATCGAATTTTGGATAATTGGATCGTACTTACACTTTCGGCCATGCCGACTTTGCAGATTGGAGAAACCATGCAAAAGCTCTTGTCTTTAGATATCGATAAGCAGAAAAGACTGAGAGACGACGCTCGGATGGCAGACGAAGATAAAGAAAATCAGCAAGAGGCCTCGAAAGCTATGAGAACACTGGTGGCCAAGGGTTCAGCTAAGGGTACGGGCCTGGGAGAGAATGGTTCAATATCTTCAGGGGCTGTCTCAACAGCCACAGGGGCTGACGGTTTTTTGGTGCAACTCGAGTCGCTCCTCGATAAAAAGATCGCTCCCATCAAGGACCGTATCGACTCGTTACAACTTGACGTTCTGGGAACTCAAAAGGCCTTGGCCCAGGAATTCTCAGTAGCCGTCACCCTGATCAACGACCACGAAGTAAAGCTTGCCAACCTTGAGGCAGGTGAGACTGAGGTGCAGAAAGCCTTCAACGAAAGGATTCTGGCGGTCGAACTGGAGCAGAAGTCTCTGCGCGCAGAAATGGCAGCCAAACAACTGGAAAGCCAGTCAAGTCAGGGTCCCTCCAGGAAAAAGGGTCCGCCTTGGGCCAGCACCCCAAGAGCAGATAGAGATATCTTCATTCTCACTAACTTGGGCTGGAATCTCAAAAAGCAGGAGGCTCTGGAAAAGGCGCGGGCGATCCTGCGCCGAGCAGACGTTCCCCAGCCCACGCATATTGTCGCTCCTTTTGGATATGGGAGCTGCGTTGAGATCAAATGGAGCTCGGTTACGGTGGGACTTCAAGCGGCAGCTACGATCCGTGATCTCAAGATTCCTGGGTACTTAGAAAATCTGATCTGGTGTGGACAAATCAGTACTAAGGAGGAGCGGGGCCCAGCAAAATTGTTCAAGACAGTTTCAAGTGCACTGGAAAAGGCAATGGGAGATCGCTCAGACAGTTACGCGATTTGCTCTCGGACTCGAAAATTTTTTGTCTTGGATCATCAGATAGGTGTTATCAAGGATGGGGAATTTCAATGGCACGAGTCTCTTAAGGAAATCCCCGATGAAGCGCTCCGCAAGACGCTGAAAGACACCATCGACGAGGCACTCTCTCTTTGAGAGGCCTACGTGAGGGGCCTCGTTTGTGCACTCAATGTGCAAGGCAAGTGGGCAGACGAGACCCTAATGCAAGCCAACCTAGATTTGCTCGAGCTGAAGTGCTGGGGTTAATTTGTATCCTAGAGGCGGATTTCAAGGGCTGCCTTCAAAACGATGGGCTACTTCGCCCCGTTTTCAATGGCCACGCTTACTACCGTCATCATTCTGGCCCTGGGTGTAGGGCCATGGGCGTGCTTGTGCACAAATCTCTGAGAAAACGTGTGAAAGACATTGTCTGCGATTGGAGATCTATCCGTGTTGATCTTCGTCCCGACTGTCTCGATGGATGCCACCATCATGCCAGATCCTTTCTCTTCTCTCATCTTGCCCATGATTTTTTCCATGATTCTCTAAACTGTGCCATCCAACTCGGTCGATCCCGCCCTGTGGGGTCCACTCTCTCCTGGCTGGGGGACATGAATGCAGATCAAGGCAACGGAGACCCAAAATTTCGATCGTTCTGCGAAGCCTGTTCCTACCTCGACCTCCATTGGTGCCCTCTCAGGTTCCAAGAGACTTCCATGCAATTCACTAGGAAGCCTGATGGTGAGCAGGCGCTCTCTCAAGCCAACAGCACGATCGATCACATTGCTCTCGCCAGGGGTGATCTATCTTTTGACTGCTTCGCCTGCTGGGCGGGCGCCCCTGGGGACCATGCCCTTATTGGCTGTGATGTCCTGGCCTTCCCTCAGCGGGCTCGTAAGAGAAGACCGCTCCTTTGGACTCCTACAAACATTTTGGAGGTCAGGAAGATCGCCCAGGGCCTGTTTCCCGAATCAGCGGAACTTATTCGTCTAAATGACGAAGAACAGCCTGATTCATGTGCGGTAAGGTATCACGATCCAAGGGACCTCACCCTCTCCTTCGATTTCTGGGAAAACATGTTGGGACAGGTTTATGAAGCGACTCAGGCCCTCCCAAGGAGTTTTAGGAGATTTGCCGAAGAGCCATTTTGGGTCAAGAGTCTCAGGACACGGTTCAACTCCGAACTTAACGAAGCCTCGAGGGTCGCCTTGGGTCAGCTCCTCCTGAAAGCGCTCAAGATAACGAAACTTCAACGTGAATTGGCTCAGGTTGCGCTCAACGCCTCTCAAGGAAAACGAGTCTGGGCCTCCCGCAAGTCTCTCCTGCCCATTTTGGGTTTCTGTGTAGATCAAGTCAAGATTTTTGAAGTGGACCGCTGTACCACACTGGTTGCTGAAGAATATAGAGAGAGGTGGGGACTCTCAGAATCGGAGCGACAGGAGGACATCGCCTGGCTCCGATCTTTGGGTTTTTTCAATTTCTACGACGACCCCATCATCCCTTCCTTGCTAGAGGACGCGCTGGACGACATCAAGGCCCCCCGAAAGATCGACACAGAGTTTGCCTGCACGGCTGTTATAAAAGTTTCGGGCTGGTCCCAAAGGCTCACGGGGTGTATACAAGCCTGCTTAGGCAACCCTGAATTCTGGAACGACGTCACATTCGGGGGCCACCTGGGTAACAAGATCAAGGGTTTTGGAACCCCTTCTCAAACTAGAGTTGTTATTCCTCAGCCTGCTATTGCCAAGATTGGGCACGCATATGTGGCGAGGGCCATTTTGCCAGTTCTGGATTCATACACTGACTCCAAAGGTCTCAAGGGCCTGATTTTTGGGCTAAGCAAAGATGGACAATTACAAGAACTTCACACGAGTGTCTACCACATTTTAGAATATGGCCGAGATCACTTTAACAAAGGAATGGTTGGGATTATTGATATCAAAGCTCACCATGACCAGATTCGTTATGGATTGGTTTTACGGAGTTTATTGGGACGGGGAGTCCCTCTTTTCTTAGCGGTGGGCTGCATCAGGTTGCACAGGAACCCTCGAGTTTCCATTTCACTTTTGGACTCAAACACTGGGATTATCCAAAGAGACCGTGGGTTGATGCAAGGAGCTGGGACGGCATGCATACTGGCGCGCGTTTCTGTAGAAGATTGCTTCGCCTCCACCCTGGAGAAAATTACCCATTCTTCTTTGGGAATTTCCATTCGCTGCGAGCAGTTGGGCTTTGACTTCAGGATTGCTCTTCTCAGCTGGTCAGACAATATCTTCGTGGTGGCTTCCTCGGAACAAGATCTTGCAACTCTGACTGCCCTGGTAGAGTCGGAGCTATGGAATGAACATCGGCTCAAACTCAAAGACGATCGGGAAATTCTTCCGGCATACCCCTACTTCTTTCAAGGATACAAGTGGTCTGACCCCTTCGGGAAAACTTGGTCGGTAGTACCGGAGGCCAAGGTGCTGGGCCCTATTCTCTCCGCCACTGGTTCCTGTCACGAAGATGTCAAGCAGGGTATTTCACAGATCAACAAAGCCTTTTGGGCTAACAGTAGGTTCTTGATTAATGAGCATATCCCCATGTCTAAACGCCTCTCTAAACTTAACTGCATGGCGGGAGGGATTATACGATCCAGAGGTGCTGCCTGGGTCCCCTGTAAGACGACGGCGGATTTGATTACCAAGGCACAGAATCAATGTATCAGGATCATGTTGAAACTCA